GTGATGATATCAATTCTTCAATGGCATTCATCCTTAATTTGCTTTAATTAGAGATAATTTTAAAGTATAAATTAAGTGATCAATATTCTACTTAATTTGTTTTAGGAGTAATAAACACATTGTATTTAATAATTTATAAATATTCTCATATGTTAAATATTTCTATAATAAATATTTTTATTCAGATAATTAAGAAATTGATAATTGAATTCCTGTTTATTTTAAAGAGCAAATTATGATTTTGATTTATGATACTTTTGAAACATTATTACCTAATGTATTAATAGCCGTAGGCAAAGTTTATTCAAGGTTAAATTCTTTCAAAATATTCAACATATAATTTGTTCTTGATACAAAGGAAGTATTTTTAGGCCAATCTAGGCTAATAGGACTACTATAGAAAAAAGGGAAATTTAATACTTTATAATCTAGATCTTTGTAAAATATGATATTATCCTCATAATCAATTAAAATAAAGATATAAAATCATCTAGTAAACTCCTTTAGAAATCTAATAAATTATATTTAGTATAAACCATAGATTTCTTTAGCCTAATTTTACAAAATGATTAAGATAAAAGGCAAAATTAAAAAAAATTAACATTTCCCTTAATTTAGAAATAATGTATTAATTTTTTATATAAAATATCCATTCTTTTATATATTTCATTTATATAATATCTCATATGATGAGTATTTTTCTTATTTTTAATCCCAAAATACTAAATATTATCCATTATTGGTCATTGTTCCATATGTATCTGGAGTTTAACAATTTAATGATGCAAGAATGTTAAATATGCCATCTTTTAATTCTCTAATCAAATAGATATGATGTTTGTGTCTGACCAATATCACATTTCTATCTTTATTATGGATTATTGGAAATAAGAAATCATCATCACATTCATTATTGTTAATTAAAGTGATAGTTTTATTAGAATTCTATTAAAAGACTTCATTCTATAATTCAAATACTAAAATATCATTTACTTACTTATCTTTAGTTACCCAAATAAATTATTAATCATTTATGAAATGTATTTTATATCCACTTGAAACATCTTATTTATATTTCAATTTTAATTTTCCTTATAATCCTTTCTCCCATATTATAAATTCATGAAAACCACATGATGCCAATAAAGTTTCAGATTAATTAAAACTGAGTGAACAAACACTATTACTATGATTATCTAGAGAATACAGATAAGCCAGATGATTCTTCATAAAATCTACCTACCATACTATTATATGATAATCTAACCCTCCTGAAATTAGCTAATCCTCTTATTTATTTAACAATAAACAATTAACACCATCACTATGTTATTAAAATGGTTATGAGCATTTCCACTCATTCTGATTAATTTATTGCCAACAGATTATTTTATAATAACTACAACCAGAAATAAAGTTATTTGTCTTTTTGCTACACACCAAACAATAAATAGGATTAGTATGTCCTGTATAAGAATTAGATAATTTAAATCTTCCTTATTCAAAATTCCAAATTTTAATTAAATTAGAATCAGCTGTAATCATAATTGATCCATCTTTATTGAACACTATTGCGTAACATTATAGAAACTATTAACTTGAATCATAAATTAATTAAAATTGAAATTATTCATTCATCATCAATTATTATTCCAATTATTTCTATTCATTCTCAACTTAAAGCACTTCCTTTTATTTCGATATAATATTTTTAATACATTTTACTTCATTCAAAATACTATCAGATTATTTAATTTACTGATTTTAAGAATCAATTTCCATATTTAAAATATTTTTTTCTTTATTAGATTCTTCCTTTTCTTCAATTATTTTCTATTCAAAGAAAGTTTATGTACCTTTTTACTCTTTAATTTCAATTCTATTTTTGGTTATCTAATTAACCAAAGGTTTCAAACTATCAAGAATTTGTTATGAGTAATCAATTTCTGACATTGAAAATTCAGGAAATTAAGGTAATTCAAGTTTAGATTCAATTGTGTGAGTCACTTATTCAAAGGGAAAAAGAAAAATAGAGTCAATAAATTTATCAATCTCAGCAAAAGAAAACTTTTATAAAGTAGAAAATGTAATTTACTTCTATTTGACTCCCTATTTCGAAGAAGCTTTCCTCAATTTTAGTCATTGTGTATTGGATGATTTATGATGAGGTTGAATGTTGAGCTTGCATTTATTTATATGATATTTAATTATGTTTTTAATAATTGGAAAAATTTAACAATTATACCTAGTTTACATATAACAAATTTATAACTAATAGTATAAGATTATTTGAAATTAAGAAATCTCGAAATTGTTTTTGATTCTAAAATCAGAAATGATCTGATTGTGTATTGAATAGATTTATGGTTTAGATTCAACCCAATTTCTTATATGGTTCTTTTTAATTATATAATTAATACTAAATACATCATGTAATTGAATGAACAATAATATTACATGAAATTAATTTGTAACATTAACTAGTTTGGATATTGGAATATAAAGCATTGGCAAAAAGAATAATCTCCAAATTATAAAAACTAATTTATTATTTTAGATTTAAAAAAGGAATGAAATGTTCCAAAAACCATTGGAGATAGCAACTTGTTATAAATAAAAGAACCTTCCCTTTTATTAATTGAGAAGACAGAAATATTTTAATTTCAAATTTTAATATTTTCTAATCAATTAGATTAATTGGTTTAATAAAAAATAATAGAATTAAAATCACTTACACTTAAACATAAATTATTATAATATATTCATAAGGGTTGGATTATTATAATAAGTAAAATTGTTTGAATAAAGAAGCTTTAAATATTTATCTTTGTAGTTAATATTTGATGCTTACAGTTATAATAAATATTAATGAATGATTAATTTACTTGAATTCAAGGATTTTCTCATAAATAAAGCATCAAATTGTTAAAGAATATAGA